CTCACAAAGTACTAGGATTATAGGCATAAGCCACGACATTTGGCCACATGAATATATTTAAATGTCACTCTCCCATAGGTACTTCCAGGGCTGAGGCAAGATATAGTCATCTTTTAATGCCTATCTCTTAATGCTGTGCAAGCACTTCATAAATGTTATAAAAGAGTTCTCGCAGTCACCAAATCAGGGAACAGAGCATAAAAAGAATACTCTCCTATGAAGATGGGTCATGAAGCATTTAAGCTTTGACTATAAAGAATGATTTTTTTCTGGGTGGGCGTGGTGGCTCATGTCTGTAATCCCAGCACTTTGGGAGGCTTGGCGGGGGGGGGGGTGGATCACTTGAAGTCAGGAGTTCGAGACCAGCCTGGTCAACATTGTTAAATTCTGTCTCTACTGAAGAAAAATACAAAAATTAGCTGGGCGTGGTGACGGGTGCCTGTAATCCCCTCTACCTGGGAGGCTGAGGAAGGAGAATTGCTTGAACCTGGGAGGTGGAGGTTACAGTGAGCAGAGACTGCAACACTGCACTCCAGCCTGGGCAAGAGTGAGATCAGGCCTCAAAAAAAAAGAGAAGGGAAGGGGAGGGCAGGAGAGGGGAAGGAAGGGGAGGGGAGGGGAAGAAAAGAAAAGGAAAGAAAAAAGAAAAGAAAAGAAAAATGATTTTCCAATAAAGGTTAGAAAGGAGGTATGATATTTTTTCACCAACTGGTAGGATAACATTTTTAAACACTCCCGATGAGAAATCATGGCTGACACCTAAAAGGAAAAACTCAGGATTTGGAAAATAAATTTGTTAGTTAACTTGGAAAATCCTTTAACCAGTACACTAAATGAAAAACAATGATGTCTTAAATTAGCAAAATCCATTTGTATTCCTTGTTTAAAAGTTTAAAAATTTTAAACTTTTTAAAAATTTACTTGTTTAAAAGTTTAAAATTTTTAAACTTTTTAAAAATTTACTTACCCTAGAGTTTACATGAGATGCTTATAAATTCATCTTTGCTGTACGTAAGTAATGAGAAGGTTTTAGAATTTTGTTTCTGGTCCTCCTTTCAAGTGTCCCATGTCTTTCTGTTTTATTCTTTTGAGTCACAGAATATCTCCAAATGTCAAATGTTCAAATTCATCCATATTTGATATAAATTCTTGAAGATGCAGAAAAAGTAGGGAAAACAAAGTAAATATATCTTATGATTTCAGCCTAGGTGAATTCACATTTTGTTGGGGTGGGGGGTTTACTGTTACTCATTTACAGGAAAACAGAAAGATAGAGAAAAACGGTGTGGAAATAATAAAAATTTTAAAGGAAAACAATTTTCAGGGTAATACAAAGCAATCCTTAGGTACTTAAAAAATTATTCAAAGAAACTATTTGCTCCAAATGTTGTGATATCACTTCTCCTTCAGTTCTTCAAACTTGAAGGTCTTTGATTAATAAGCATAAACTTCTGTGAAAACTTCATAAAATGAATTACTTTTTTGGACTAATAAAATAATTTTTTGTAGGCCCTTGGCTTTATTCTCCTTTGGGTTTGGGGAACTCAGTAAAGTATACATTACAAAGTCTGTGCAAGGAAGTAAGTACTAACAGAAGTGAATACTATTCCCTCATTACTGCACAGGCATAACTAAAGAATAAAAACTGTGTTTTCTGTAAAAAAAGGGCTCTGAGAAAAGGAAATTCATAGTGAAAATTCCAAGATGTTCATGGTTAATGTTCACTCAGTAATGAAGTGCTATCACATGGTACAGAGTTTTATTTTAGTAGCAGGAATTTTTGTAATTACGTAAATGACTTTACTCCTGTATCTGGTCTTTAAAAATTGAATATACAGGCATATATTCTTTACAGAATTATGTAAGTAAAATTATAGCCATAATCACATTTAACAATTGAAATGATTTTTAACATCTGGATTATTAATATAAAATAATTTCCTGTATCTCATGTTTAGTTAAAACACTGTGTTATTTGAGGGTAAAAATTTTTTTTGTTAATTTTCCCAAATATCTTCCAGATGATATGTCACACACTGGCTTTTCTGGCCACAGCACAATACTCAGCTGATTATCTACAGAAAACAGTCTACAACTCTATAATTATTCCTGTGCCACCTTCCTGGTTCTAACTGAAAGTACAGACTATCAGACAGCCATACTTATGGTTGGAATAATTTCTCCTGTTACATTATTCTCACACTTGCCCACCCCAAAACTTGAACACTTTTCTGCCCATTGACATAATTTCAATACATCTTCCAATTGTAGTTTATTATTCATAACTCAGAAATATTCAACATTATTTGGAATAATATTTGGGAAAGACAGTATGCCTAATCACCTCCAGAATACTCACAAAAATTAAATAAGCTATCAACATTTTTTGAACTTTTCTTACAATGAAGATTGCTAAAAATTAAATAATGTTCCTATACTTTGGCCAGTTTAAAAATAAATCAGATTTCTTGTTGGAAAGTCTATATGCCAACACTTCAATTTTTACTATACCTCTTCAACGAACAAAATATACCCCATACTTGATGACAACCAACAATAACAAGCAGAAGAAAAGATATCTGGAAAGAAAGACAGTTTGTAACAGTGAACTTTTGAATGCAAAAAATTTCAGTGCAACATATTTTTGCACTATTAATACTATTGCAGTCATGTGCTGCATGACATTTCACTGATGGTCCCATAAAGTTATAATATTTTTACTGTACCCTTTCTACGTCTAGACATGTTTACATATGCAAATACCATTGTGTTACAACCGCCTATGGTATCCAGTACAGTAATATGCTATACAGGTTTGTAACCTAGGAGCAATAGGCCATACCATACAGGTATGTAGTAGGCCGTACCATGTAGATTTATGTAAGTACATGCATAATAACAAACTCACTCAACACATTTCTCAGAATGTATCTCTGTCATTAAGCGATGCGTGACTGTGTATTTTATGTCTAATTCAAGCCAAATACAATTTTTTAATGTTGTATTTGTAATGTGAAATGAAGATGTGGTGGGGCACTGTGGCTCATGCCTGTAATCCTATAACTTTGGGAAACTGAGGTAGGCAGATCACTTGAGCCCAGAAGTTCAACACCAGCCTGGGAGAAATGGTAAGACCCTGTCTCTACCAAAAAATTAAAAAATTACCCGGTGTGGTGGTGTGTGCCCATAGTCCTAGCTACTTGGGAGGCTGAAGTGGGAGGATCACTTGAGCCTTGGAGGCAGAGGCTGCAGTAAGCCAAGATTACATCACTGCACTCCAGCCTGAGCAACAGAGTGAGATTCTGTCTCAAAGAAAAAAGAAATGAAGTCTTGTTTACTTCATTGAGTAAATGTTCACTGAAAACTCACTATGTGCCAAGCATGTTCTCAGTATGGGGGATTCACAGGTGATAAAGACAAACATGGTTCCTATTTTTCCATTATTATGAAGACTAAATTTTTTAAAAATTTATTTTGCAGATGTGATCAAATGAAATCTATGCTTTATCTTGAATCATTTACATTCAAAAATACTTAATCCTGCAATAAAATGTTAAAAAGTCACAGATGTTACAGAGTTAGGGTTGAAAATGAGCTCATCAATTCCAAGATGCACATTATTTTACATTTTGACATCTCTAAAATCAGTCACATCTTACAATGTGACCAGACTAGACAGCAATGGAGATGGAGTTGGCACTGCCTATGTGTGCATCAAAACTTCAAAACTCAGAATGAGCACAAGGGGCTTGGAAGAAAATCTCAGGTTCAATAGTAAAGGCACCATTGTAAGGATTTTTTTTTTTTTTTTTTTTTGAGTAGAGATGAGATATTGCTATGCTGACTGACCAGGCTGGTCTCAAACTCCTGGCCTCAAGCAATCCTCCCATCTGGGCCTCCCAAAGTGGTGGGATTACAGGCGTGAGACACCACACCCAGCCTTAAGGATTTTTGATGATTCAAGGTTCAATAAAACATAACAGTTGAAAGTTTTCATTTATTATAGGTGAGGAAAATGAAATTTAGAGTGGTCACATGACTTGCCCTAATTCACAAAGCTGGAGAGGTAGAATAGAGTCCAGGTCGGTTTTCTACAGTCATTCACTCTTCTACCAGTGTACAGTTATATGGAGGAAAAGGGGTGTCATACAAAATAAGTAGGTAAGAAGATGGCTCTAGTTTTGTAACCATAAGCAAGGAACTTAATCCGTCCTTGCCTCAGTTTCTCCATCTATTAAAACAGGGATTTAACAAACCTAACTCACAGTACTGTTGTAAGCATTAAATAAGATATGTCTGGCAATTGTCACAAAGATTGGCATATGTTAAGTACTCCATAAATGTCAATTATTTGAGATCAGACTTTACATTTATTATACACTAAGTCAAGCCCACATATAGTTGTTTGTCTAAAGCACTAGAAAACTAAATAAACTGGTCAAATGTTTGAAGTGATAAATACAACGAAAATTTCCACCTTAACAATATTTTGTCCAGGTACTGTGCCAAGAACCCAGTAGACCTACCTGCAAGAAACCAAACAAAAAGCAAGATTCCACGCTGGCATGATGATCAAATTACGTACTTCAATATGTGTGAATGCATTTATAAGCACAATCTCAATACATAAACAGGGAGCAAAATATTTAATGTATAAACAGATCATTTCTTTTTGCTTTATTTAAAATACTATATCAGAATCACCCGAGGAACTTGATAAAATTTTTTTAAAAAACTATTATAACTACGTATATTAAGCCTGGTTAAAACCACAAGTTTTAGAGGTTTAAGCCTTACTAGCTCAGCTCTTCTAATTTTGAGAGTTTCAGTGAAAATCTAAATTATAACACAGTATGTGGAGTAAACTTGCTTTAAATATTAGCTTCTACATTGTTTCTATAAAAATAGTAATCTTCTGTCTTTTAATATCAACTCATCACATATTAAATATTTCAGTTAAATCAAAATTTCAGTTGAAATCTTCAATCTAAAAAATACACAGTTATGCGCTTAAAAAGTAATTTTAACCACTAGGAAATGTTAATGATTAACTCACATTTGTTTCTGTTTCACTCCATGACAAAACCTACAGGACACCCTGCAGAGAGGAAAACTCACATTAATATATCCAGAATTTTATTTTCAGAAGCTTCTGGTAATGAAAACTTTATTATGAGGTGTCTTCATGTTACCACCGCGCAGTAGCAAAGTTAAAATATTCTAAAGATTAGTCTATTTTCTCATACTGGTTTTTTTTTCTAATGCTTTTGCTAACATGTTGTCTAAATTTAAACCTTAAAACGATCACATGACCCAATATGCGAACTCTGCCTATTAATTCTAAAACTTTTAATAACAGTTTGCTTATGTTTGAGACTTAAAAAAAAAACAAAACAACATACTGCACTATGCCCATCCTAGATATTTTCTAGGATCAAAGTCTATCTGGAGCAGGGCAGGCTGTGGTTGAGGGTGGTTGGGTCAGCAGGGAAGAGCCTTATGATCAGCTCTGAGCGCCTCCACGGTGAGGAGCACCCAGAATTAAGAGAGACCAGGCACCAAAGGGTGGGGTAACTCAAGGTTCCATTTAGAAGACTCCAGCCTCGGCCGCCCGTGACTCCTCGACGAGCCCCACCTCTCTAGATTCCAGTATCCGGCCCGCCCCTTCCTCCCAGGCTACCACGGTATGGCCCGCCGAGCTCCCGGGCCGCGGGAAGTGACGGAAACAAAAACTTGGTACACAAAGAAGGGCTGGGTCAGAAGTGAGGCCCCACCCTGCCAAGAAGGACGAGTTTTCTAGAAAAACTTAGCGGCAAGTTAACGGGAAGCGCGACAACAGAGTTCTTAGGATTGTGGGGGGCACCCTGCCGCCAGAAAATCTCATCCTTTGTCCTTTGAGAGGCCTCCTTGAAGCCGAAGGCTCTAAGTGCCCCTGGGCAACCTTTAACCCGATCTCCATTTCGGGCCCTCACTGATGGCAGCCATGACAGTTGCATCGGAAATATCGAATAGCAGCGGCCAGAGTCTCCCGGAAGTGACGCAACGCGGAGGGATCCGCGTTCGGCCGAGGGAGACCGAAGTGAACTGGTTCCCGGAAGCCGCTGCAGCTGGGCAGCTGGTGGCGGGGCGGAGGAAGGTTGGGGAGAGAGGTTGTGGGTCTTACAACCAACCCCAACGCGTTTTACGTGTCGGGCGGGCATTGTGCTGAACACCTGATTGGCAAGCCATTTAATCCCTGCCTTACTACAATCCCAGCAGTCAGGAATTTATTACTTCCATTTTACATATGGGGAAACTAAGGCTAAAAGAGGGCGAGTAAATTTGTCCGAGATCGTATAGCTGGTACTTGGTGGACGTGGTGTAACTCAGACACCACATTCTCTGTGGTGACTCCCTTTTGTAAAACCAGAGCTGCTGGCCCTTGGCATCCTGGTAAGCTCCTTTAAGTTAGGCACTCTGTGGCCCAGAGAGGGGCCAACCTGTAGCCAGTGTGCTCTTTATGGTGAACACAAGGCCGAACGGTGTGCCTGGGTCCCCTTGGCTGAACCTCAGATTTCACTTGGTCTCTGACACCTCACCTTTGCAGCACTCTCCCTGTGTTTGCAGCGCTGGTTACCTGAGGAAACTGTCAATGATTGCTAGGCTCTGGGGAGCATTTTAACTCTGATTAGGCCCTTTTAAATCCAGGACTAAGACAGTTGGAGGCCTCTATCATCAGATACTCTTGCTGGCCTTAACAGGGGGCCAAGGATCATAATCTTGGACTTTCCACCAGATAAAGTGTTTGTTTGGTTTCTGTTTCTTTAGAATATGACTGAAAACCAATCTATTGTTTAATCTTCTTTCTGCGTTAACCAGTACTCAAAGTGTGAATAGCCACTAAGGCTATGTTTTTGTAAAAACAAATTATGCATAGAAAAAACACAGGAAATACATCAAAATTAACAGTGATAGTGTTTGAATAGTGGGTGATTTTTTTCTCTCTGCTTTCTCGGTTGCATATCTGCTATAATACCTTTTTAAAATAGAAAAATAAGCAAACTGGCTATGGTAAAAACATTTTTAATTGCCTGCCATTGTAATGAAGGCAAAGGCATGTTGTCATATTTTGACAAATGACTGTCCTTGATACAAATCACATAGGGAAATCCTGTTTGACTAGAAAAGCATTGGATTTTTGTGAGTCGGTGTATTCTCAAAATTTTTAATGTTTTGTTTTGGTTCTATAATCCTCACAGGAAAAGTAAAAAAGCAAATTGATGTTTTTCACACACTTTCGTATGAGAATATGCCACAACCAAAAGTCATATCTAAAACAAAGTTTCAGAGGGCATGGAATGTGGGGCCTTTGTGTACTTAAAATGCTGGAGAACAAGTATAAAAAGCTATTTTTATTCTGGCTGCTTTGGGGTACAGTTTTAAGCAATTTATTTCAGACTGCCAAAGAAAGCTTCATTCTTTATGCACATACTCTGCTTCCCACTATTGCTTATTAGTGACTTCTAAAGCAGTGACAAAACAAGAAAAAGAAGATAGAAGGGAAAAATGAGAAGTGATCACGGGAAGAAGAAAATGTGGAGGAACAAAGACACATGGTGATATTGGGGTTGGAGTTACTTTGGAACTCCAGGGTGGCATGTAACAGCCTTCTTATCCAAGTCCTGGCACAGGCCTGGTTACCTACTAAAAGGTAAGTTAGCATCTATGATGTTCCCGCTCACATACTCAGCACCCACAGTGATAACTCTTACTAAAAATTCATCTTGATGCTCATTCAAATTAGACATATATTTTAACAAAAATGGAGTGGTTGAACAAAAAGAAATGTAAAGTAAAATCTCATCACTTTTCCTGTTTTTTTCTCTTACCATGTCATTCATTCATCCTGTGGTTAGTAGCATAACTATAAACTGGAAGTTTTACCTGCATTATTATAAAGCAACAACTATGAAACACCAAAGTGAGGTGCTGACAAGATGCATATTTTCCAAAGAAATGTCTTTACGTTAGTCTGACTTTGATGAGAAGTTGTTGTGATGGGATTAAATGTGCAACAATTTTATTAGAGGAAACGCCTGTGAGAGAGAATGGGAGGGAGCCAAGCAAGGCTGGGAGAGGATGCAAGTCTGAAACTAAGTGAAGGAGAAAGGGAGAGAAGGGTGGTGGAAGTTTCCTAGACTGCCAAATAGTCTAAGCAAGATTTAGAAAGGCTATTGGAAATTCTCAAGCAAAAATCACCTGCCAGAGGAGTCCTTCTTTCGGGAACCAGCCTGCATTATTATCTGTGCTGCTCTCAGTCACCGGCTGGAGCAACCCATGGGTGAAAATGTGGCCAGGGAATTCAGAGTGCAGCAAGCATCTGGGGCCCTTGATTGGTTTTGCTCCCTGTATTGGCAGCCACTGTCCAAGAACTGATTTTGCCACTCCTGGACCTTTCACCAGTTTCATGGGTTAAAAGATGTTGAAAGAGATGAGTTTATGAGGTGAAGTTTTGGGGAGAGCCATTGTTATGCTTCCCCACTCACCTTCAAGTCTAGTGAAGGGAGCTTCAATAGCAATACTCAGAGAACTTGATATGCATTCCCTGCGTTTTGAGAGTTACAGTAGTATTGTGAGTCACATCTGGGAAACCCCAGGGGCAGGAGAGATGGGCCAGTGAGAATTTTGGCATAGGAGTGAAGGAGAGTTGCTATGTTGGGATCGATAGTCACTGCCATAGTTTGTCAAGGCAAATGATGCCTGAGTGTTTCTTGTGCAGCAGATGTGGGCCACATGAAAAAAAGAGGAAGTTTGCCTGAGACTTTTTTGACTCTTGTGTATGGAGAGAATCTGTATGGTATGGATTATTAGAGAAACCATAGCTGCAGATGGAGCAATAGCTGGAGGAATAGAATGCATTGCCTATCTAGAGTGACCAACTTGTCCAGTGTGCCTTGGACTTTCCCTGCTTTAGTACCAAAAGTCCCAAGTCTCAGGAATCCATGTTTGATCATGCTACATGTCATAGGAGTTGCGGCATCCAACAAACCTAAAAATCATCTGTGAGAGTGGGTCAAGTTTAAGTTTCAAGCAGGTCTAGAGTGTAAACCCAGTTTATGACCATGCCAGTGTTTAAAGTAGATTTTATCAGAGGATAATTGGAAAATGATGCTAAAGGAAAAACTTCTTCACACTGTTTTTTTGGATCAGTCTTTTGACACAGCCAAAATACCATAGACTGAATGGCTTACACGCAGAGATTTATTTTCTCATCGTTCTGGAAGTTCAAAGTCCAAAATCAAGGTTTTGACCAATTTGCTTTCTGGTGAGGGGCATTCTTCCTGGGTTGCAGCTGGCTGCCTTCTCACAATATCCTCATATGGCCTTTCCCCGGTACATACTCAAGATGAGGAGGCATGGGAGAGAAACAGAGAGAACTTTCTGGTGTATCTTCTTATAAGACACTAATTCTGTCAGATCAGGGATCCACCCTTATGACCTCATTTCATCTTAATTACTTCCTTAGAGGCCCCATCTCCAAATATAGCCACAGTGGGGGTTAGGGCTTTAACATATGAATTTGAAGGGCACACAAACATTCAATCCATCACAGAGTGTGACTCTGCAACACAGAGATACCTTTTTGGGGGAAGGGGGGTCGTGAGAACATTAGGTCTGTGTTTATGTCTCACACTCTTAAGGAGGAGTTGTGCTATGGTGACTTTGCAGCCCTGTATCTTTATGAACAAATGTAAATATGATCTCTAGAGATCGTTTGTGACACTTTTAGAGCTTTTTAGACATTAATCTTGTCAAGGAAAGTTGGATACCCAGAGGACCCTGTTATTTTTGCATTCTGCAAAGCAGAAGATATCACACACTAATATTCACACTACTGAACTCATGAGGAAACCCACAACGGACTCTGTGTACATAGTGATCAGGACTTGGTCTAAGCCCTGGGGCTTGTATTTAGCTACAGGGACTTAGTAAACAGTGGAACTGTTCTGATAAGAGATATGGTTCTGCTTCTATTTATGAAATTTGATTTTTTTTAAAGTTAACACAGGATTGGTTAATCAGGGAGTATATCCTCTTACATCTTTCTTACAAATATGAACTCAAGTAGTTGTAGGACTCCAGCTTAAAAGGCCAGTATGTTAAGAATGAATTGCTGTTAAACAAAACAAAACAAAACAAAACAAAAGACAGACATAGATTTGAGCCTCCTTTAGCATCCACTTGATCCTTCCAGAAGGCATAGCTGTTTTTTTAATTCCTTAAGGGGTATAATAGTTGGAAGTATGTTCAGCTATGATGAAGTAATATAAATTTCCAAAATAAATTTATTTAAACATGACATAAACTAATTTTTTTCTTTTAAGAAGTCTAGATGAAATCAATTTAGAGTTAGTACAGTTATTCATGGTGTGAGGATTCCAGGCTCCTATCTTGTTGCTCCACTATCTGTGGTGTCCATTTTCCAAGGTCATTTCATGATCTAAGATGGCTGGTAGAGCTGTAGCCATTCCAGTGAACAGGAAAGACTAGGGGATTCAAAGAAAAGCACAGTTGTTTCATTTAAGGATGGTTCCCAAATGTTACACACAAGCTTCTGCAAGACATGTGGAAAGGGTAGTATTTTATTTTGTGGTAAGCCAGTGCCCAGCTGAAAAATTAGTTTTTATTACTCTATAACAAGGGTCAGCAAATGATGGCGAATTGGTCAGTTGCCTGTATTTGTAAATAAAATATTGGAACACAGTCATGCCCATTTTACCTGTCGTCCATGTCTACATGTTCTTTTAAACTATTTTATTGACATAATTCACATTATACAATTCACCCACTTAAAGTGTAAAATTCAGTGGCTATTAGCGTTCACAGAATTATGCATCTATCACCACAATCAATTCTAAAACATTTCCATTGTCCTGAGAAATGCCACAACCTTTAGGTATCTCTCCAGTCCCCCATATCCACCACCCCAATCTTTCTGTCTCTATAGATTTGTCTACTTTGGACTTTTCATGTAAGTGGAATCATACAATAATATGGGTCTTTTGTGACTGGCTTCTTTCACTTAGCATAATGTTCTCAAGATTCATCCATATTGTAGCATGTATCAGTACTCCATTTCTTTCTGTGGCCAAATATTCCATTATATGGATATACCACAGGGTGTTTATTCATTCATCAGTTGATGGGCATTTGGGTTGTCTCTTTCTTTTAGCTATTGTGAATAATGCTTCTATAAACATTCATGTACACATTTTTTTGTGGACCTATGTTTTCATTTCTCTTGGGTATATTCCGAGGAGTAAAATTACTGGGTCTTATGGTAAATGTACGTTTAACCTCTTTTTTTTTTTTTTTTTTTTTTTTTTTTTTTTTGAGACAGAGTCTCAAATGTCTGTCCATTGATGCAAAAGAACTCATGGTATTAATTTAAATGCCACATACTGGTTCTTTAGAAATCATTTCCCTCCTCCTTTAGAAATCACTTCTTCCTTCACCTAGGACAAATCACAGATAACTGCACAGGCTCTGTAAATGGTTCTAAGAAGTCTTCAGTGATGACCCTAAGAGCGTATTTGGCTCCCCTCTGGTAGATTAAATGCTACCTGTCCTGAAGAAGGCCCCCTGAGTATTAGTCTTTTTCTCCTACCGTGAGTGACATACTGTAAAAGCATTAGGCATCCAGATGTTCTACTTCTCATTGCTTTTCTAAATGTTTTATTGAGATATACCTTCTACTATAAGATGACTCATTGTTAGGCATTATTTATCAAGCAGCTATGCCAGTTATCAACTGATTGCCTCTCAGCCCCAAATTTGCCTTTTGCCTCATCAGTAAAAATGGACCTGGGTTCTTGAAATATTTCTCCTTAGCCAGTGGGCATGATGTTAATCTTCTTAAGAACTGGGAGCTGGAGAGACATTGTAGGAGGAGGAATTTTTCCTTCCTGGTCCTAGTGGCTTTTATTCTCTATTACTTGACCTCTATTCTCTATTGCTTTTATTTTCTATAGCTTGGCCTGTGTAGTTTTCTCCGGTATGAGGTACCTAAAGGAGGCAGATTTCTCTAGTGGCTACTGTGTCAATTTCTAGACTTGGGTGACAGAGGCATAGCCAGGAGAATGGCATGAATTTGTGCCTTCCCGGGTCACTGCCCTCTTTGCCCACTCCTCAGACCCACAATGTGTACATGCCCGGAGCCCTGTAAGCTGGCTGTGAGGAGCCCTGCAAGCAACCCTAACCCTGGCTCTAGTGAGCCAGCCACCCAAGCTTTGCCTATGCAGCTGCTCAGAGCTGCCCTTGTCCAAGCCACACACAGAAGCACTAGTTTCCTGTAGCTCCCAGTTCCAGCAGCATCCACAGTGGTGCTCTGTCTTGTTCTGTGCACTTGACTTCCTGCCTAACACCCACCTACCAGTTTGAGCTTGCCTGTACCCTCTGGCTTACCCAACAACTAGGCATAAATACATCTTTGCAACTTTGCATCTTCCAATTCATGAACATTGTATATTTCTCCATTTATTTCATTGTTCTTTGGTGTCTTTTACTGAAGTATTATAGTTTTCTCTACAAATATTTTACTTATTGTTTAAACATCTATTCCTAGTATTTCACATTTTAATGCTATAATAAATGGCATCATCTTTAAGTTTTTAATTTTTGACTGCTTGGAATGCAACAAATGTGTATATG